CAGCAGCAGCAGTAGAAGTAGTAGTACTAGTACCAGTACTAGTGCTCGTACTAGTACTAGTACTAGTTGCAGTACAAGTAGCAGCAGTATCAGATATAATCGCAGCAGCAGTGGCAGTAGCAGTTAGAGGGAGGAGGAGCCGGAGGCGGTGCTGCCGCTGCAGAAGCAGTGGCGAGGCTACTGCCAGCTTCAGCACAGGCAGCAGAAGCAAGTGAGACAACAGTGATCGCTGGTAGTAGTAGCTAGTATTTTGTGTACTGATTACACCTATGCTGCTTTGCCATGCTGCTCGAGTGCCGTGTTGGCGTGCTGATGCAGAAGCAGCTTCAATGAATCTCCAATGTCCGAAGGCCACATGTGCTGCGGGCGATGCCGACTTGGCCAAAGAGCCAACACAGGCGCTTGTCCGATCATTCTGTAGACGATGCTGACTATTTGCAGTGTTCATGTCAAAATCTCCACATTCAAACCCTGCATAACCCTGCTTCATGTGCCACAGAGGTCCCTCCCAGCACGGAGACCTATGAGCCGGAACCAGAAGAGGTGCAGCAGGTGGGTTGGAACACGCCATCTGACACAACAGGTGCTTATGGCGTTTAGGGCCGTCTAGGGTTTGGCATTGATACTGGAGTGGTTTGGGGGGGATCTCTTTTCAGGATCCTGCAGTCTCTTCGGGGGCTCAGAAAAGCTGCAGGATCTCTTCGCTCTGGAAGTCCCGACAGAGCCGGCAAGGCCCGTTGTGCGAATGGTGTCCGGTGGATGTAGGTGGATGATTGAACTAGCATGTAGCCGTAAGGTGGTAAGAATTCAGACGCACCGTTCCGTACAAGGCCTGCACATGAAGACTAACCCAAAGTTCGGAGACCATCGAGCAAAACTGTGCAAAGAACAGTAGCAGCAGTTTCACCAAGCAAGTCGGCTGACAACTTGGCAGCTTTGTCTTGCCAGGCAAACCTGAAACTCCTGAGCCCACGAACCACGACAGGTCCCATGGAGACCGGTCTCCCTTGCTGCGAACAGTGCGGGAAGCAGCCGCAACGCTCTGGACTGTTTCCGAGGGCATGAATGTATTGACTGACTTTTCTTCGGTGGGGCGCCCGCTGTATCCTGTGTAGCAAGGCGGCGCCGCATCTGGACATCGTCGCCACTAGCCAAGCACATGCTGCATACTAGTCGAAAGAGGTCCCTGCACCAAGCTCCGGCACAGATTTCCCCTGCTCCTCGTCGGCAGGAATCTCCCAGCCTCGAGCCAGCTGGCCTTAGTTCCACTGTCTGGGATGCAGGCAGGCCGCCACCTGGGGATCGAATTACCTTCTCAGGCGTTCGTTACGGTACCACACATTCCATCCGACTACGGGTTACTTGGTGTAAAGATTGAGAAGCTTTGGGGAGGGCGGATTGAATCGCTTGTTGGCTCTCTGAGTTTCACGATGGCTGTGGTCGCTTGACGACTGCTCGCGTCTTTGCTGGCCCCGGCTCAATGCGCGATCTTTCGGTCGTTGTTGGCTTGCGTAAAGCACCAGAAGAGGCTAGGAAGCCATCGCTTGTGTCTACCCCTCTAGCCCGACCTTACACGCAGAGGCCGGCAAGGAGCTGAAGGGCGATGACCTGACTCTGCAAGGGCTGGAAGCTCAGGTCTGTGCTTACGGATAGTGTGGATCACGTGTGTTATAGGGTCAAGCCAGGGCAAGACTATTCATTGTCTAGACATCACTGACATCACTTCATGCACAGGAACAGACGCGTGCAGTATTCCGCGAGCGAGGCTTTGACTCAACAAAGCCTCGCACCCTGAACCAATGTACAGCCCCCTACGGCAGTATCCTGCAGCGATTTCTTATGAGCATTTCCCGACTCCTTCGGCAGCAACCCATTTGTGAGAAGTCACAGAGTTGTTTGCGCGAGGCCCGAGCAAACGAGTCACAGCGTTTGTTCAGGTCCGGCTGTGAGTACGGCGACATTATCTGCATGGAGCAGCTGGAGGGATCAGGATGACTAGTGCGTTCGCAGCTGCACAGCGGCCATGCGAGCACATCCAGCAATTAGAATAGGTGGTGTTTCTATCTTTTGTGCCGGGAAGATACCGGGACCGGTGTTCCAATTTCTAACAAACATCGCCACATCAAACTCCGCCCTGCTACACCGGCAACGTACCGAGCAACTGACCAGAGAATGTGCAGTGTCGGAAGGGTTTAGTCAATCGGACACCACCCCGTGTCTTTGCGTCAATGTCTGACCATCTGCCAGGAGCCTCGCAAGCTGTGCAGAAGCTGGGTTGCCTTAGTTTACCTGCATGGTGGTCCGCGTGCAGTAACATCAGTGTGTTTAACGCGCATGACAGCAAGTTCGTTCCAATTTGAGTTCGATGCGCGTGCTTTATGTGTGCGTGTGCGACTGAAGATATGAACGCAGGCAGGCCACTACTTCTGCTTCTTCCGAATAAGAAGAATAACAATCATTAACGAGAACAAACATGTAACAATAACAGAAGCAATGAAAAGAACACCGTAATGACAACAATAAGACTGACCAAATGGAGAATACATTGGTTTTCTTGTTAATTACTAGTAGTTAATCATGATGACGCAAATAGCAATCGTAGTTGTAATGGTAAGAGTGAGAATAGTCTTCCAATATTCATGGCAAAGGTTACCTTACAGCTGGTGGCAGTGGTAGTTAAAATATATTCATACTAATGGAGTGTCAAAAGCAACATCACTCAGAGCCCTATGAAAACCACAATACAGATACTGCAAAGCTAAGAAGAAAACATCAGCAACATACTATCAGATTGTAACGTGAGCAATGGTAAATATACTCATACGGGCCTACATACCTTCCTACCTCCCATACGGACCTACTTACCTACAAAATATATCGACAGAGCAGACTGCTGAGCCCCGTGAAGAACTGGAACCCATGTAGACCCCTCAGGGGCCTGTTTAACATAAACCCCTCTCCCATACCTTGGATTCTAATCTCGATTGTTATATGTCAGCGTTTAGAGAAATTGAGTTTAAGAAAATTCTGGACATTACTCCTGCGCTGGCCCAGGCTCGTGGAGGAGAAGTGCAACACCGCGAAGATCTATTTTAACCATCCGACGAGGCTCAGTTTTAGGAGTTACGTTGCGGCTTAGGATGTAAACTTTGGGCTCAGGGTTATCCATCGACACAAGCTGTGCTCCGAAGCGGTGCCCCCGTGGTTTGCAGGACGTCGGCTCCTTTATTGGTGACTGTGCGCGGGTGTTGCTTTCATCAATTCACTTAGCCTACAAGGCAGTACCTTGCAGTACCCTTACAACTCTCTCACATTATTTTTGGACAGAATCCCTTGTACGAGTGCCCTGAAGTACCCTGAAACTTATAACTTACATTATACTTATTAAATCATATATATATATATTATATTGGATTAGATTAGATTAGATTAGACTATATTGTATTATATTATATTAATTAATATGAGGTTATGCTATACAATACTGCATCATATTATCTTATATTATAATGCCCTCGTAGTACCCGATAGAACCCGAGGTCCTGAGCTGGGCCACCGATGTGAGCACCCGTAGCTTTGCAGCTTCGGCCAGGCCGCAGTTCACCGAGGAGAAGCTGCAGAGCCTTTAGGCTTTAGGGCCCTTTAGGGCAAGTTTAGGGGCGTTCAGGGGTAAGGGTTGAGGGTTTATAGGGTTTGGGATTCAGGGTCTGGGGATTGGGGGGCCTTGAGGAGATGGGGCTTGGGGTTAAGGGTTGAGGGTTGAGGGGTTTGGGAGTTTGGTGGTGACGGGGGTCATCTAGCCGTGACGGAAGCAGGGTACTGGTCATACAAGCCGTTGCAAGCTCAAGCCATGATACCTTTGGCGGAGGAATTCCCGCCAATCGCCATCAGCAAAGATGCCCCGATCTTCGAGCTGAAGGCTCACGGACTCGTTCGACTGGCAGAAGGGCTAAGCATACTGGGGGAGGTTGCAACTCTAGCTGGATCATTCCTGGATGCTTACTTGAAGTGGCTCTCGGAGTTATGGCTGTGCACATTTGCCCAATGCATGACTTGAACAGAGTGTTTTGAGTAATAGGACGCTGTTTCACAGAAGTGTCTTCGTTCTAGATGCCAGTGCTCACCAGCTTCCTCATCCTCATGTTTAAACAATGGCATCCAACTCGTTGCCGATGGCCTGCCGGCTTTCAGCTTGTCTGGAATCCCGACACGTTGCAGGCGCGCATTGCTCAAGCTCTCCAGCTGGATGCGTCAACACTCCACCTCTGTCGCTCGCAACATGCGCTGGCGTCTCAGTCAGCTCGTGCATCTGAGAGATAAGACGGTGACTTTGGTACGCCGCACCTGCATGTAGGACCTGCAAGTGGCATGGTGTAGGCTTGCAATCGAACTACGACGAACCGACCCGACATATGATGTTTGTAAGTTAATCTCCGCATACCCTATAAATACACAAACACATAGGCAAATGCGGCTTAGCCGCTAAATTTTTCAATCAGCAGCTAAGCAAAATAGTATCTGTACATATATATATATACAAATAACTCAATATATTCATATTCACATATATATATATATGTGTATGCATCTAAATGTAGACACACCAGTGCGTGTGTTATATATACATATTTACATGTACATATGTATATATATATGTACATATATATACATATATAATCTACGCATATACAAACGCATAGTCTTTGTTTGGAATTATGTTCGTTATACTGAATAGCCTCTAAACCG